AGTATATATGTTAAATGCTTAAATGATAAAATTATCTTTTTAAAAAAAATTGAACGTTTATTATTTTACGATGCACAAAATGTACAAAGTCTAGTCTAAAGCTAGAGTGACTTAACAACGACGGTTTACAACATTTTATAATCTCGGTTTTACATAGTCAGCAAAATGCTACTTTTATGTTTAGTTATATGGCTTATCCTAACATCTAACACCTCCCATGCTAAGTTGAAAAACTAAATTTTAATAGTTTGGTTTTTCAATAATATAGATAATAAAATAAAATGACGAATAAATTTGAATGATTAAAATTTACTATTCTAATTAATATTGGGAATTGCGGGTGATTTAAATTTTCTTGTAGTAGGTCTCAATTCCATAGATGGTTTTTTGGCAGGCATCTCTGATGATGATTGTTCCATTCTTTCTTCGGGGGATGATTGTTGTTGTATCACAGTTTCTAAAGGTGGTTGATGATTCGATCTTCGGCAACTAAATATTGGAAACACTTTCATACAGGACTGATGACGATGTATAATGTACATTAGAATTATTGCTCCAGTTACTATTAGTGGGGTTGTATAATACCAGGTGTGGTCCTTAACATTCGTGTAACTTTTTGTATACTCTTCCTTAATTCTCTGTTGTAGGGTTGCAAGCTTTGTTTTGAATATCGCGAGGTTATTATCCATTAGGTAGTGTAGACTTATGGGTTGAATATCGAGTTGTTTCAGGATTTCGATATCTTTGTGACAACAATTTCTAGGTATTTCTGGGGTTAAAAGCGGTATACTTTTGATTTCGTTGACTTCCTGGTTGTTGTATGATATTTGTAAACCATTGCCAAAATAACAAGTACATTCCTCGTTGATAGTTAAAAGGGATGGTTTTGAAATTAAAGTATGTTTAATTGGGTATCCTTTACACTTGAATGTTACGCTTAAGTTTCCTGTAGAAGCAATGATCCATGTTGTGGCGTTTATCTGTTCGATGTTATTTTCCGTTGCTTTGAATGTGTGGACGACACATTTTTCGGGGAATTCCTTGTTCATTAAGAGTTGCGGTAAGCATTGTTTCGTATTCTTAGTATCTTGGGGTTCTGTATTCTGTTGAATGATGACGTTTTCTATTCGAAGTGCATTTGTAAAATCCCTTGGTTCAAGGTACCATTGGTGGTCGTCGGAGATTGCCACATAAGGGTTTTCAGGAAGAATTACATGGTGGTAATCATTTTCAAATGTAATAGGATAAGGATAGGTTTTAAAAAGTCTGAGTGATATATTTTTTACTAGAGGGACTGTTAACTTTATTAAAATTCCATTTTTTAAGGTAAATAACTTTGGAGTTGTAATTTGGTAATATTTATAGATATTTGTATCATCAAAAGAAAAAGGCAGTATATTTTCGCTGTGGCTAATATGACTTAATTGTTCCTGAAATTGTGCGTGATTGAGAACACTAGGATGAAGGATATTGATTCTAGCAAATGATAAAGTTTCTACAACTTCATCGACTTCTTTGCTTACTTCTGCAGTTATGTCATTTAAAAGAGTAATCGTGTCTAAAATTTGCATTGATATTATGTTTTCGTTTAACCTGATAGAGTTATTAAAAATATGGCCTCTTATGTTTAAAATGCTCCGCTGTAAGGTAGCCTCATTAGCGTTAATTCGGCTTAGTGTATTGTTAATATTGGAAACAATCATTTTAGTTAAATGCATTTGTTCGTCCTGAAATTTTAAGATGTTTTTATTTGACGTTTGTAGTTCTCCAATTAGCTTCTCTTATTTTTCGGCATCGGTCAAGTCTAGTGTACCGAACAATGTCTTCAACCCACTACCAAAAATATTAAACCGGCCTCTACGTACTCGTTTTGAATTTGGTATTAAAAACCTTATTTGGTCTAACTTAATTTTAGAAACAATCATTTTAGTTAAATGCATTTGTTCATCTTGAAATTTCAAGATGTTTTNGTCCTTGTAAAGCCCCTTGTTTTGGAGTGCATCTTTACTTCTGTCTTGTAGTCAACGTTACGGGTTGCATTTTCAATTCCAGAAACTACAATTGTCGCTTGTGTGCATGGTAGTTTCAGGCGAGTCCATAAATCCTTCGTGATAAAGTTGGATTGGGATCCAGAGTCAAGCAAAGCCCTGCATTCATGCCGTTTTCCTTGCTTGTCCTGGATTAATACGATCGCTGTTGATAATAGTACATGCGAAGTATTTGAATTCGTTGATTGGGCTACCATTGTTACCGAGGGTGCTGTAGATGTTGAGGGAGTCACAGGTGTTGGTTCATTGTTACTATTGCTTGTTCGAGGTTGATTACTGATATCTTGATGAAGTAGAGTGTGGTGTTTTCGCTGGCATTTTTTACAATGCCCGTAGTTACATGATTTGTTCCTATGCCCTGGATTTAAACAGTTGAAACATAGTCGCATTTTTTGTACTTCTTCGACTCTTCTTGCGGGAGTAAGTTTCCTGAATCCTTCGCAGTGGTATAAAGGATGAGATTGTTTACAAAATAAACAGCTGATTGTGTTGGTTACTACATGAGATGTCACCTGTTCTGTTTTTCTATAATTAAATGGTCTCTTATCGTTGGTACAATGACCTTTACCGGAATAAATTGGCCTTTCTGTTATAGTCACTTCAAGATATTTGCAATGGTTTTCCAGTAGGTTAACCAAGTCTCTTAACGTAGGTTTACCAACCAACTTAACCCTTTGCCGTTCCCATTCACGTTTTGTTGAAGCGTCCAACTTGCTTGTAATAATGTAGATGACAAGTGTAGACCAAGAGTCAGTAGGTTCACCTAATGCCTTTAATGCTAACAAATTGTTATTCATATCGTCTAACAATTGTCTGAGAGATATGTGGGATTCCCTTGTAATAGATGGCAGTTCAAAAAGTCCCTTGGTGTGATGGTGAATTAACGCTCGTGGATCTTCATATCTATCCTTAAGACATTGCCACGCTAAGGTATAATTTGTTTCGGAAACCCCTAACGACTGAATAACACGTGCAGCATCGCCCTTGAGTGCTGAACTTAAATAATGGAACCTTTCGATGTTCGATAACGATTCGCAGTTGTGGATAAGCGATTCAAAAGTGTCACGAAATTGTAACCACTTATCATATGAGCCGTCGAAAGTTGGTAGCGAAATGGTAGGCAATTTAATTGGCATTTTTGGTTCTCCAATTGGTGTGGTAGATGAATTAGACGCAATGGTTCTGTGTTCTTCGCGTTCGCGACGTTCCTTCTGCAACGACTTCTTAATTGCTTCACGTGCAGTACCAATCAGCTTGAAGTATGTTGTCTCGAAATTAGTCCGTTCACAATCTTGGGTTTGCAATTGTTCCTCGGTTTCTGCAGCTTCTTCAATCCTTGATTGGATGTCTTCGAATTTTCTGTACAATGGTTCTGCTATTTCTAAACGCGCCTGAATATTGCATATTTCGGTTTCTAGGTCACAGGTGTCCAGGAATGATTTGAAACGAGTCAAGCTAGCCTTAATTCGTCCACGTTCGAAGATTAATTGTTCGAGATCGGCCATAATTACCAAATGTTACGCAAATCTACAACTTGTTCAAAAACTTACGGGTTTGGTTGTTGAATAAGGGTCTCGTACAGGTCACAGGTTCGGGCCACTGAAGATCGTGAAGCTGAGGTTCTCGTAGTAACTC